GAGGCCGCTGCTCCAGATTCTCCCTCTGCTGGTTCACCTCCCACCTTAAACCCTCCGTCCTCGAATCCTCCGAACTCGGTAACCATTCTTCTCATCACAAGTTCAAAACTTTCTGTTTTCGCTGTTTTCTTTTTTTGTTGGTTTGTTTGTTTTGTTTCTTTTGAGCTCTGAGTGATGCCGTCGTTGTTTTGTTGCAGAGAATGGGGGCAAAAGTGACAAAAACTTGTGGCCGAGCTTCACTGAATTCAGCCTGGACCAACTGAAAACCGCCACGTGTGGCTTCTCCTCCGACAACATAGTCTCGGAGCACGGCGAAAAAGCTCCAAATGTTGTCTACAAGGGAAAGCTCGATAACGGCCGTTTGGTCGCCGTCAAGCGATTCAACAAGCTGGCCTGGCCCGACTCTCGCCAGTTCCTGGTCCGTCGTTAAACTTACCATTACTATAAATTTGTGATTTTTTCTTTCTGGGTTGTACAATATTTTTATAAAAATGGAAGCTTTTGAAATTGAAGTGAATCAATGATGGTTTTGATAGGAGGAAGCGAGATCGGTGGGGACGCTGAGGAGCGAGAGATTGGCGAATCTGATTGGATGCTGCTGCGAAGGAGATGAGAGGCTGCTTGTAGCGGAGTTCATGGCTCATGAGACTCTGGCCAAGCATCTGTTTCACTGGGAGAGCCAGCCCATGAGATGGGCTATGAGGTTGAGGGTGGCTCTGTATTTGGCTCAAGCTCTAGACTATTGCAGTGGCAAAGGTCGTGCTCTGTATCATGATCTCAATGCCTACCGGGTCTTGTTTGATCAGGTAAAATTAATAAGGCCTGCCTTTTGAAATCTCTTCATTTTATTGAATGAAGATGTTTTTTTTTTCTTTAATGTATTATTTACCATCTGGGTTTTTAACTTGGCACCCACAGGACGGTAATCCCAGGCTGTCATGCTTTGGCCTCATGAAGAACAGCAGGGATGGCAAGAGTTACAGCACTAACCTGGCTTTCACTCCTCCTGAGTACCTCAGGACAGGTATGGCCACCTAATTGAATACCATTGTACTTCAGAAAATCAGGTGAAAACTATTTATTGTGTGCCTTTACCTACTAGCAAAATTCTGCTTTAGAATTTAATGTAGTCACACACACCACATTTGAAGACCCATTTGCTTTTCTAACTTTGGGGAATCGCCTTCACTGAATTGGGGATTTGAATATTGACGATGATGAAAGTTAAAATACAAGCTTTTTGTGCCACCTTTATTCGTTTGGCTTTCATCTCATCAGTCTCTTTCTCTCAGTAAAATTCAATGGAACATGGATTACAGTTTGTATATAGTTGGTGCCATTGACAAGCATGGAAACCAGCATTACCTAGTTGATCTTTCCTTCCCCTTTCCTCTAAATTATGAATTCCATTGGTTGCAATATGATAGTGAATATATGTGCGTCTTTGGTTGGCAGGTAGGGTGACACAAGAAAGTGTAGTTTACAGCTTTGGAACCTTATTGCTGGATCTTCTAAGTGGCAAACATATTCCCCCCAGCCATGTGAGTTCTATGCCTATTTCTCTTTACAATAATCCACTAGAATGAAGGTTAATATATTAAGTTCTTTAGATACTTAATAGCAAGTCGGTGGTCACTGAACTTCCCCTTAAATAGGGATCTTTTCCAAAAGACAATAAAGATGTCTAAACATCTGCTCCCAACTAAACAACAACATATTCATTTATTTAAGTAGTCGCTCGTAAATTCCTCCAAACTGTGTTTTTATTTCTTTCATTTGGTCTCTAAGAGTTAGTAGCCTGGTGTTTGGTTAATAATACTAGTAAGCAGTTTCATGCTCCTATTGCTAAACTTTTTTACTTCAAAAATTGATCCTAAGTGATTGCAGAAGTGGTAGGCGTAAAACATGATAGAAAATTACTGTACTCTTGTCTTTTATGACTCCGAATATTGGTTTGAGTATCAAATTAGGGGTTACCATGTTTGCATGTCTTGTTTGAAGGCACTAGATCTAATTCGTGGCAAGAATTTCCTGATGCTGATGGATTCTGCTCTGGAGGGTAATTTCTCAAATGACGATGGAACTGAGTTAGTACGCTTAGCTTCACGCTGTCTGCAATATGAAGCTCGTGAGAGGCCAAATGCAAAGTCCATCGTCACTGCTCTCATGTCACTTCAGAAAGAAACAGAGGTAGGGCTGGCATCCTTATTTTTAATGTATGTCTCACATATTTCACATGATCCTAGACAAATCTTAGGCCTAGATTCTTACTTTTTCTTGCATCGTAGTACACCCCTTAGGCATATAAATAGGCTTTCCCTTGTACATTTTTACTCTCTCACAACAACATAATTTCCTTTTTCTGTCTTTTGTGTTGTTATTTTAACGTGATACTAGAGTCACCAATTAGTGGCATGAATTAATTTCGATAGCAAGTACAAGTGCTCGTCCGCCTCTACACACCTTCTCTGTTCCTTTTCTCTTTGATCAGAATCTGTATTTGTCAAATCAGTTTGACAGTATCCCCATTTGATTCATATACCATCAATATATCAGGGATGAAGTAGAGTAAGATTTGGATCCTACCTCTGTCTAGATTAATTATATATGTGAAATGTGATAAATACATTAACAATGTCTCAGACTCAAGGTGATATACAAGAAACCATCTTAAGCTAACATGTATGTATACAGCTTAGATATAGAGCATGAACTCAACATATAATATTACCAACTTCAACATACAGAGTTCTATTCTTTCTTTTATGTTATTCTTACAATTGCTTACCTTTTTTAGTTTGTCTATTCTCGAAGCATTATAACTTTTTCTTGATACTAACCTCATTTCCTTTGCAACTTAAAAACAAGTGGGGATGGAAACGAATTTCTGCTGAGAATGAAATTTAGTTTTCCCCGCATCAATTGTGGACATCGCAATGGTTGTCCATGCTAGCCTGCCTTTTAACAGCTAAAAGTTCACTTGGAAAGAGTATAATTTCTCATTCCATAGTTTTCGAGCAGGTTGCATCACATGTTTTGATGGGTATCCCACATGAAACCACATCCTCGACGCAGCCATTGGCATTAACACCTTTTGGAGAAGCTTGTTCGAGAATGGATCTCACTGCCATACATGAAATATTGGAGAAGAATGGATACAAGGATGATGAGGGGATTGCTAATGAGGTCTGCCACTGCCTGTCCTGTACTTTATTCTTTTAACTTTGACACATAATATAAGGACTTTGCATTTATAAACAGTAACAAGTGCTTTTTAATATGATTCTTCCCCATATATTTCTTTCTTTATTGTTTGGTAATCACTTTAGTGCTAATTCTGCTTGAGATATTTGGGCACTGCAGCTTTCTTTCCAGCTGTGGACTAATCAAATGCAGGAGACCTTGAATTCTAAGAAGAGTGGAGATTCCGCTTTTCGAGCTAAAGAGTTTGCCACTGCAATTGATTCCTATACACAAGTGAGTCTCTGTTTGGGATTAATTTTAAACTGTTATATAGAATTATGCTTTCTTCTAACCAGTTACCAAACTCAACACATTGCAACCTTCAAAAAGTGGCACAGTATCTGGATCTTTTCTTTTCTTTTTCAGAGCACATATAATATAAAACAGTTTAGTAAGGGTCAGAAATCTAACACCTGTTTCAGATTGAGTTGATTTTTGATCTGAGTCATCAGACAGTTTGTATATTATATGATGCTATTGAGAAAGATCAGGATACTATCATTGAGATGTTTGTTGGGAATTTAGAATTTGTCAAGTCCAGGCTGATTTTGTTTCTACACTTTCTGGTGTCTTTTGTAGTTCATCGATGGCGGGACAATGGTATCACCCACGGTGTATGCTCGGCGTTGCCTATCTTACCTGATGAGTGACATGGCACAAGAAGCTCTGGGGGATGCTATGCAAGCCCAGGTGGTTTCTCCTGAGTGGCCTACTGCTTTATATCTTCAAGCAGCTTGCCTCTTCAGCCTTGGCATGGATAATGATGCACAAGAAACACTCAAAGATGGCACAAATTTGGAAGCCAAAAAGAACAAAACTTGATATGTATAGACTAATAAATTTTTATTTTTATTTTCCCTTAACACCGGGTGACGTTTTTATTAGTAGTCAGTCTTTGTATCTATTCTTTATTATGATTTGCGTATTTTAAGCTTTGCTTGCTTCAAGGATTCTTGGAAAATTATTTTTGTTGGTTTTGATAATGTCTTTTGAGTCCCTTTTGTTAGCATGTGGTGATTGATGCATGAGTATATTACTTTTCTTTTCTCCATGCATGGAGATTTGAAGTTAGGATCTTTACTCTCACTTCACCTACGGCATGCCATTTGAGCCAAGGCTCATCATAGGGGATGCTACCTGATCACATCAGAAGTATAGCTCTTAAGGATTTTTTTTTTTGGGGGAAACACAAAACTTGACCTAAGCATACAAATTAAAATGGGAATAAGAATAATGCTGAGGGCCTCAAATAAATTTCAATATAATTTGATATTTGATATGATATGTTTTGTTTGCTTTAGACTTGTCAAAACCTTGTATTATTGAAGGGGTAAAAAAGGTTTTCACCAAACAAAGAAGGGAAAAAAAAAAAGGTAATAGTTGACGTATGATGTGATTGGAGAAAGTTAAAAAAAAATGTCACAGGCGGCGCTGAGGCTGTGTTTTGCTTGAAAGAAGAATGCAGCAGTGCAATTATACAATTCAATTCAGCAATTCCCCTGCCGTTCAGAGAACACCAAATACACTGGTTAAAAATAAAAGGGGGAAGAAATATTTTATATATTATAATTTATATAAACCCTTATAAAGGCCTTCAATGAAAGACCTGATAAAGCTGTGACTTATGCACAAGGAAGGGGGAGATATTGATACATACAACAAACACTCTTAGAGGCAACAGATGATGTATTGCTATATATATGAATGCTGCAGAGCTTGAACTATGCGTTAATCAAATTCTGCAGCTTCTTTTACACTTTTTTTTTTTTTTCGCTTTCAATTTTCCTCAACTCTTTGCTGAGGATTTCATGACGGAACGTTGAAGTGAAAGAGCCATGATATGACAAAAGCAAATACCATACAAGCAAGAAGGAAGTTGAGGAACCGATGGCCATGCCAGAAGCTTTGAGTATCCGTGGAGGGCCCTGGTGCTGAGACTGCAGCTGTTGTTGATGCACTATTGGCTTCACTCAACTGCTCAGTAAACTCAATGTCATTTGGACCAACAACATTGCGTGCAACTGACTGGCATATCTCACAGGTCCTGGAAACCATGTAGACTGAAATTAATATAGTAACCAAGTGATATTCGTTTTAAAGACTAATCACCATTAGCAAGTAAAATTTAAGTTAATCAACCTACGGGACACGGTAAGTAAATGAACCAAGATTAATCTCTATGGCTTGATGAGAAAACAAATTAAACCCAGAAACCTACAATACAAGAATCAGAAGGCAAGACTTTGAACAAGACAACTCCTAGTGGGCTAGTATTCCAGGATAAGGAATCAGGAAAACAGGAGGAAAGAAAATATATGGATATAATTTACGCAAGCAGGCCACATAAGTCAAGCTCATACTCAACAGGCTTGAATTTTCTGTGACAGATACAGTTTAAGACTAAAAAGGCAGAGGTATAAAAAGATGCACAGCATATATTACATCATACTGCACCAGGTATTACAAATTTACAAAAAGATTTCATAAAGAGCCTTGAGATTCAAACATTGAAATTGCACGATTTCATATGAAATATCTGCCACCGTGTATTTGGTAGGGATTTGGATAACGATATCTAGCTTTAAGGAATTGCTGATCATCACCAGGGCATGTGCAATCAATGAGATGTAGCATAATAGCACAGTGGATGGCAATTGGTGTTAGATGGTGGTACTGCCACCACAAATCTGACTGTCAGCGTCTATGGTGGTGGCATTGTTAATTTGTAAGTGACACCCATATAAACACACACGAGTAATGACACATGGCAATCCGCCAAAGGCTCAATTATTTTGAATCAGAAAACTTTGGGGTCAATAATTCTCCATCTATATCATACTCAAAAAACTACGAGTATATAAAAAGTCATTTGTCACTAAGCATGTTGGATGAGTAGGAGCTGTGGATATGCACACGGGAAATCATAAGTTTATTTAGTGCGTCGGCAGACAAGAAAGCTTTTGGCAAGAGAAATGTATTGGAAATATCAATAAGAGGTCAAATCCCCACTTTCATAAAGAGCCAGAATCACAAAGGAGCAGTAGAGAGATTCCTATACTTGGAGAAAAGACAGACAGCAAGGAATTCTAGTTTGTACTTGGACATATTCAATGTGCTTTACCTTTCATTTACTTTGTCCATCTCTTTACTTTCCCAGTTGTTTAAGCAAAAGTTATGTGCCTGCATCTCCTATCTAACCCTTTTATATCATTCAACTACAACTAGACTTCCTTCAACATTAAGAATTGGATAAATCCAAATCAATTAAGAACTAATAAGATGAGATAGGGTTATCAAATTATAAAATATATGAACTGCATAATGCTAAGAACAACCTAAGCAGGGAAAGGGATTGTAATTCAAGTGGTTAAGAGCATTTACTCATGCATCCGAGTTACTGGTTTCGATTCCCTCCTCCCCACTATCGCTTGTATCAAAAAGAAAAAAGAACAACCTAAGCAGAAGTGGGAAGCTAACAATTACCAGAAAGACTGAAAATTTAAAAGAAACCATGAAAAAAAAGAAGAAGAGAAATTTACTCACTTGTTACCCTTAATTTTGAACCAAGTATCAGCGCAGTGCTTGTGGGCAGCAGCCAAATCATCCTTGCAAGAACAACCCAATTCAATAGGAACCCCAGATTCATGGCTATTGCTCTCCAAACCCAGCTGACAAATCCTACAATCTCTCTCTACTTTGTCCAAATGCACCTTAATTTCAGGCACCCCAATCTCAATTTCGAGCTGGACCGAACCGTCCGAAACCGAAGAGGCTCTCCTGGAATCTGAGACCACCTCAGCCTCAGGATCAGAGACGAAGGCAAAATTGTACTCGTCGTATGACCCGCCATTTGTTGAGTAGAACTGAGAGTAACACGACCCGTCGTCTGCGTCCGAGAAGCAGACGCTGCCGTCGGCGCTTACGTCACGGCGGTGAGATCCTTGCTCTAAATCAACGTGGGACATCTTCTAGAGGCTAAAATTTCAAAGACCCAGAAACAGAAACTTTGCTGAACGGCCAAGAACAGAGCATTCAGACATTAAAGTTTGAAGCTCTGGGGTTTCTAACACTTAATTGATGGAAAAACGAGGATTTAAGGAAATCGGTATTGGATTAGGTGCACTTCAACTCCATTAATATTGTTCACGATAGTGATTTGATACCAACAAATTTAATACACCAAAAAAGGTTGAAGCTTGAAGAATGCTCAGAGAGAGAGAGAGAGAGAGAGAGAGAGAGAGGCCAATGGTCTCAGAGACCAAGACTCATGCTTGCTCTAGAGACTTGGACTGAGGACCCCCTTCAAGGAGGAACAGATACAGAAACGTGCAGTGGGTGCACTGATTATATCTCAGAAGAGATTTCATTGATAAAAAGACAACTCCAAATTTGAAAAAGCAATGATAAGTAAAATTTAAAAAAAGGAAAAAAGAAAAAGTTGGTGGAATATTTGGTGCCAATGCAATGCCATGCCATACTAAAATGCTCAATGTGGTCTTATGCAGATTCTCTTCTCTATACGGTTCTAGTATTGAGCTTGTGTTACAAACATGTCCATGAAAAACGATTGTGGTGTAGATTAAAGGGATATACGTACACCATAGAAATATCAATCAAATTCCATATAAACTCATAAATTTTTGGCTCAAATTACTAATTATATGATATTGGGTGTCTAAATCAGATTTTTAGTCTGATAAATATGAATAGAGACCCATCCATACAGTAGATAGATGGGGATATTTCGTTGCTGGTTGGTCCCAAAAAGACTGTTTTGCCGCCACAATTGGACAACATTGGAGGCAAAGAATATTGGGATTTTTAGAAGACGAGGGGCAATGGTGTCAGAGAAGACATGAATTTGCCAATACGGCTTGTCTTCACTAACTTGCTACTTTCAGTTAACCCACACATACTTTAATCATGTAGCAGTAGCTGCAGCAGCATGTTTCTCTATGCATGGCAGTCTTACCTCCTCTGTGTTGTTGTGCATGAATCCTGGCTGTTGATTCAGTTCATTATATGAAGAAAAAAAAATGAGATGGATGGAATGGTGTCCGTTGATTGTGGGTGCATCAACTTTTTCTTCTACATTCGCAGCACATAATCACTCTGTTGTTTCTTCTTTTTCTTTTTTTCACTCTTTTTGGAGTTTTGCAATTTCTCAGTCATGATCAGTTGACTGGAGGTGGACCACCTCAGGGTCAGTGTCGCTTATGTAATCTCTTGCCTTTGCGTGAAGAACACAAAAGAAAAAGATTAAAGATTTTCACCATTATAAAACTACAACTCAAGGGAAAAAAGAAAATGGGGTAGGAAAATGGAAAGAGCACCATTCCAATTCTGGTGGTTGCCAAGATGAGATTCATGTAACGAACTGAGTGAGAGAGTTACATCACTAAACTAAGCCACAAACAATAGCATTTTAAAAGGATCCTTCTCATTGCAAAATATTGTAATAGTTTTAGATAGATATATTTTGTTATGGCTTTGGAATCTTTTATTCTTTCTTCTACTTTTTCTTTTTTGCTTTAATGTTTTCCTCTCTTTGTGTTGCTGGTCATTCTTGATTCCCATCTCATAGTTTATATAGCTTTTCTTCCAACTTTGTTTTTATACGAGCGATATCAAAAAAGAGAAGAATCAAACTTAAGAATTTGAAAATAAATATTCTTAACTATTTCAGCTACAAATACTTCTTTACTTTCTTCCTTTGCTCTTTTTACATGAGAAAATAGATTTGCAGGCCCAACAAGACCAATTAGCTAAAGAAACCGTTTTGAATCGCTTTCTTCACATGTGTTGGTGGAACCGACCCACTTCCTCTATGCACAATTGAGAGAGAGGAGCAAGTAATCCATAAGCATGCTGCATCGTGGTGGGGCTGACTCTATATCTTCCATTCCATATGACATTTTGGTTTTCCTTTTCTTTTCTTTTTTCTCTTTATCTTCTTTATATAAATAATTCAGTAGAGGAGTTCGTCGACAGCTACATTACACTAAAAACCAGGAGGCTTGGGGAACACAATCCATCTCCTTGGGTCTACATGTCTTGTCTTGCATGTTTCTTTCTTTCTTTCTCGTGCCACACTTTGGCTCGGGGTTCTTGTTGCTCCTCAATAGTTCAGTTGGATTCGAACTAAAGTCCTTCTGCCTAGACAGCCTTTAATTTTTGGGCAGGACCAGAGTTCTGGATTCGTTGTATTAAGAAAGAAGAGAGATCATATGAAACATCATCACATGTGACATGTCATGGTTCACCCACTTCGCATATGAGATTTTGTGTTTTTGTAGGAATACATAATATTTTTGTTTTTGGATACAAACAATATTCTACTTTAATCTAATATGAAGTACATGGAAGGAGATTCGAACTCGGGTGCAGAGTAGGGAGCACATTCGCTTTAGCCAACTTGACTAAGCCCATGTCAACTGTGGGTATCCATAAGTTCGACAGAAATACTTCAATTCCTTTTTATGTTAATATAGTTTGTTATATGTAAGAAAGCTGGAAAATGCAGGGCACATGATTCTCCATAGGGAAGAGAGGGTAGAAAGAAAAATGATGTTGAGTAATACAGTTACTTTCAGCATATAGATTGATAGGAATTACGGGTACGCTTACACAACAGACAGACACAGTGAAGAAGATTTCTCAAGCTGACAGCAGCTACGAGGAAAAAACTTTGTAGAGTTGAAAACAGTTGCTTCAAGCAATGTTGAGCCAAATGAGTACAAGCAAACACTATGATTGCAGAGAAGAAGCATCACGCCTTCCAACCGTTAACATACGGACTGTGAATTCCCACCACTGCATCAACTAGAAAAACAAATTTCTGCCTGCCTCATGCTCTTACATCAGAACTTTGCCTCCAAGCGCAGGCTATCATTTATGCATCAGCTATTATGAGTACAACATTCAGGAACCAGGCCAAAGGTTGGTAAATAGTTTCTTCATAAAAATATGAATCTTTCCCTTCTCAATGACTCTTTTAGTAATGAGTAATGACAAGTCTCAGGCAGGGAAACAAATTTCGTACTTGCAAAATATTGATCCTACTTGGTTAAGCAGTCACCTCAGCCTGAGTCCCGAGCTTTGGCTTGTAGGTAGAAAATTTTATATACCAGTCTTAGGTTGATAGCACATTGGTCTTCATTCCCATTAGCCTATCATTTCTCTCTTCAAAACGGAAAAGATTATTCATTCTGCTCTCCTCAAAATGCCCCATTTGCCCTTGAGACTCATGGGGTACTGTTCTATCAGCTGCATCACCCATTGCTCTTACACTGCTGTTCTCCAAACCACTTTTAATCCAAGCAAGGTTACTTATATCTGTGGCGATTGCAGCCAATTCAAAACTTGGAAACGAGGGAGGCTCGGAGAAGTCTACAAATTCTGGCCCCAACAAAGAGTTTTGAGCATTCTTACCATTGGCACAACAGCAACCGTGTCCACACTGATCAGGTATTGACCGCTCACCATAAACTCCATCAAGCAATTTACTGATGTTGACATCTAGGTTTGATACTTGAACCAGAGGTCCTTGCACTGGAATTATCCTTGGGAATGATACTCCAGTCTCCTGGCTATCTGAATGGTTATACACACTAAAAGCACTGATGCATGCCGCTGGTCTACAAAGAGTTGGCTGTTCCTTGACTTCATGACTAAACTGACCCTCCGTTGACCCCTTGTCTTCGTATTGACAATCCATATGCTCTAAAGAACTGACTTCTCTTCCTTCCATAGATTTAGATGAATTGACATCCCCATATGAGAAGGTCTCTTCAGATGATGCTTTTGTTTTGTCTAAGCTCACATCTTCAACCGTATTACCAGATTCTAACTTTATTTTGTCAGGGTCCATGCACCGGCGCCTTAGTGTGGAATTCCAATGGTTTTTTATGGCGTTATCTGTCCTCCCTGGTAGAAGCCTCGCAATTGCAGCCCATTTGTTTCCGTGGAATGCATGAGCTGCAATTATCATCTGATCCTCCTCATCTGGAAGAATTCACAATTATCAGTCTTGTTCTCCAGGAGAAAAACGGCATAGACATAAATTCATAACAAATGGCCAGAACAGCAGGAAGTAATATAATTGAGAATTTATATACCATCAGATTTCATATAGTGAACGCATCCACTAACCAAATATGCAAATAACAACTCACAGTCTCAAATGTGCCTTTTCTTCATGTAGTAAGAAAAAGACTAACAATAACAACATGTGAACTACACCTTCCCATAGCAAAACTCAGTCAGTACCAGAGTTTTTACTTCCCACTTTATTCTCTCTACCTCCTGTTACATTATCCAATTCCAGTAATGATTGCATCATATTCACTACCAAATAAAAGATTACATCAATTCTCAAAACATATGTATCAAGGACACTAGACACTGTCCAAATTTCGGACACTAAAAACATGGTTGCCACAATAAAACATAACCTAAATTGCCAAATCGTGGTCAAATGCATAACATTGAAGTAGCTTGTTAAAAATGTGCTACAACATATATTACTACATTGTAAAAAGCAAGAATTGGGTTAAATTATGCATAAGAAATCCCAATTAAATGGGAAGATAGATTGCTTGAAAGTTTGAAACTTCGAACTACCAAATTGTTCAGAAACCCCAAAAGAGAACACTTCAAACAAAACCATATATTTTTTTCAAAATTGGAAGGAAAGAAAACCCTCAATTTTAAAATTTTAAAAACAGACATACATTGACTAAAGAATTGAAGGGTTTGGTTCAGATCAAAGTATATATACCAGTAAAGGGCTTGCGCTTAACGGAAGGGTCGAGCTGATTACACCATCGGAGGCGGCAAGACTTGCCGGATCGTCCGTCAATTCCTCGGGCTATCAAGCTCCAATTCCTCGCGCCGAACTTACTCACTAGCCGACTAAGTATCGCGTCTTCTTCCGGAGACCAAGGCCCCTTCACTCTGTCTCGACCCGATTTTCTATTACTTTCGACTCCGCCTCCCGCCACCGCTTGTGTCGCCTCTTCACCGCTATCTCCGCCGTCTTCGGCGTCGACTTCCACGGCGGCGGTGGCGGCGGCGTCGTAGGCTGCCTCCATTTCCCTCTCCATCCTCTCTCTTGGTTTGTTGGTGTTTGGAATTGCACACTGCGAGTGCTTGACTACCTACCAAACTTAACTGAAAGAGCAAGAGCAAGAGTGCTGTTCTTGACGCGACAGAAGACGGCTCCCAAGATTTTCTGTTTTTTTTTAAATTCCGATTTTGTCAATGTGTCCTGTGCTAAATTTACTTTTGCATCCTCCGCAGAATTTCATTTTAATTTTTGGGAATTCAAATGATAAAATATATTTTGGATTGTGAATAAATATTATGCTAGTCGTCTTAGTTTTCTTTATATATTTGGTACAACTCTCCAAGATGTGTAACTTCTAAATCTTCGACATTCCTATTTTGCGTCTATCATGTTGTCTCGTGAGTTGAATAAGTAGTTTATAATATACAAATTTATAAATAAATCAAATCCTAGACATGTATTTATAAAAAAATTCAAACACTATTTAAACATAGAAACACACCCAAAATTAATAATTGTATATTTTTTGGGTGTGTTTATAAATGGGTTTTGAGTGTATGTAATGATGAGTTTTGAGTGTGTTTATAAAGTGTTTTGGGTGTTGGGTTTTTTTATAATTTCAGCCTCCATTTTTGGTGTTTTAGTGAAACTCCCTGGGTAGGCCTGGGTAGGCCTGGGCACGGATCGGTTCGGAACGGTAGAAGACTCTTCCGTTAACCAAACCAAAGACTTCGGTAGACCATTTTCTCTTCCGTTAACCAAATCAAAGACTTCAATAGACTTCGGATCGGTTAACCTAATACTCGGTTCGGATTTGCCAGTACGCCAGTAATACCGTAATAAAAACATACTAATAAAAAATACAATTTATAATACTTTCACATAACATAAGTTCTTGAATAAACACACCAAATTATCCTTGTAAAATATAAAAATCCAATAATCTAATTCATCCAAGTATGAAATCAAATAATTTAGTGACTATATCATTCGATATGTACTCAAGATGTACTAGAAGCCACTTGTGTTTGTTGTTTGAACCTTTGAGTATTCTTTTTATTGAATTCTCTACATTTATGTAAATGATTTTGACACTTGTTCCGCGCTAGGTTCTTCGATTTTTCATGCTGAATCCAACTATACAAAGAATATAAAATTTGGATCAACAGTTGGAAAGTTACAGGTGAAAAAGGGACAAAGGTCGAAATTGGAAAACATAGGAAGTTCATAAATTCCTCTATGACCAAAAAGTGCTACAGTATTCGGATAAGTGATACAATGGTGATAAAGAAGTGATATAGTGGTGATAAAGCGGTGATAAAATGGTGATAAAGCAGTGATACAATGGTGAGAAAGAAGTGATACAGTAATGATAAATGAGTGATACAAAATGTTGTTTGTATTTATCTTTGATTTATTGTTTTGTATTTAAATAATAAAGTAAATATAAATATCGGATCGGTACGGGTTTCCTTCGAGTTAGGAATTTTGTTTCCGTTAACCAAACCAAACATTTCGATACTTATCATATTGGAATAATTAAAATTAAAAAATAATAATTTAACCAAACCAAACCAAACTGTTGGTACGGTACAGTCGGTACATGGATAATTTGGATGAGATGCCCACCCCTATAATAGGGTAACATATTTATGTCCTTGCCAATGGCCATGATTAGTGCTCAAAGGATATTTTCTACTTGGAGAAAAATGAAAGATTTGAAAAAGTAATTTCACAAACAATAGAAGAAAAAAAAAACCAAAATTTGAGAGCCCGTTTGATAACATTTTCAATTTTAATTTTTAGTTTTTATCTTTTATGATAGAGTATAGATGAAAATGAAAGTAATTTCTCCTTTCATCCTCTCTCTCTCAATCTCATTCCCACTTTCATTTTCACTTTCATTTTCCTCTATACTATAACAAAAAATAAATAAATTACAATAAAATAAAATAAAAATGATTACCAAATTGACTCTAACATTAAAATAGTTATCAAACAGGCAGAGAAGTTTAATGGGAAATAAGTTCATGGTTTTATTTATCTTCGGAGGGAAAAAAACGTGCTTTCTGGGCAGAATGACGGAACTATCCTCTCGCCGTTTCAAAAAGACACGGCCAGCAGTGATAACTGCATAACACGTGCGAACCGTGCATTCTGTAGTTGGCGGGAATTTTGCTTGCTGTCACTCGCACATGGTTGGCTTTCATTTTAGGGGAGTGTTTTAATGTGATCTGTCTCGCCAAGCTGCGTGGGCCTAATCCAATCGATGCTCATATGGACTATGGGCATCAGAGCATTGCTGGGCCATCCCAAGCACTAGGCTTAAATAATGGAGATGGGATGATGTAGTAAGTAATACTCATGCCTATATACTATATTAGCCCAATTGATAGCAAATCTTGCACACATTTGTGTCGACATAATGTGTGTGTGCTGTCCATAATCAAACCATTTTGCATAGACCATTATAAAAAATTAAAATAAAAAACCATTTCGTATAGACCAGTTTTTTTAGTGTTTTTTTATTAAGTATAAGTGATAATATAAACTATAAGGAGAGAAAATTCTTATACACACGACTCTGATGTCGTATAAATTCGAATATGAGACCTCTGATCTGCAAATCAAAGTCATTTTTCACTCGTCTAGACCATGCTGATAGTCTTTATAGTGTTTTTGTTCAACAAGTAACACCTTAAAAAAACACATCGTTAATTAAAAAGTATTAATCCTATAAAGACCACACTTTCATACTTCATTATGTATATAATATGCACCGCCCACATCTAACGAGATAATATTATACAAATGGAAAATACTTACGTGTGATCGTCACCCCTACTATGCTGCCTTATTAACTTTAATGTTATATATGGATGGACAACGTGTTTGATCATCGATGCACCTAACCAGGGTGAAGTGATAACAAATCAATATGCATTTATTACATCCAAAGAATTTCCAGACGTTGTAATTAATGAATCATTTCTTCTAGTATACGCTTTTACTTTTCTCTTAAAGTCTATAATCTAAATATTAACAGATTAGCGATCTAATTGACTGTATGGTCAGCTGTTTAACATGATCGTGGTCGATACGCGCAAAACCTTCACAGAACCAAACCATGGCTGCTAGTTTTCCTCGAATATCAACTTATATCCATAGTCATTGCGAAGAAAAAAGTGCCAAAATTTGGAAGAAGGATAATCATGTTGTTGACCATCCATGAGAATTTATTTATCTCAGAAATGATTAGTACGATAGGAGACGGCTTCTCCACCTATTAGACTAATTCAAGGTCTCTTGCGTGTGTGGATTTTTCACCAGCTTTTATCATTATCACCCACGCAAAGCTGATCACATATGTATCAATGACTGGGCAACAAACTCCAATTGTAAGATTGATTTTACTTCTATAGATAAGTCGAAAATGATTGTTTTTGCCATAAATTATTAATACTTGCCGTATTATTATAACACATATCACGAAAATGACATACGTATATTAATTAGTTCGGTTTTGTACTTTCAATGCCTAAATTTCAAACCATAATACTCACATGTTACTATATACTGCAAGATATAGGTTACAAGTCACAACGGATGAGATCAAGTTTCTTGAAGAGGAAAATTTTGATTTTTGTACTACATATATCAATATCAGTTATGTTGTTGAATGTCAAGACAAGTGACCAGCGCTCTCTATGGTCAACAGCTGCCCAATATACATGTTGGTCTATCGACCCACGAAACAACTAGTTCAGGGTTTCGTAGACATCGAAATAAGGTTTGAAGACGCCACCAAATATGTGTACCTACCCCTACAGAAATTAGACGTGTCTTGCAGAATGAATTAATATGTGGTTGAGCGAATCAGATGGGGTAGGTAGGTGGGATTTCGAAGCAACAAACGGGGAATGAACATAAGATATTTGACAGCTTATGGAAAAGTCCTCGACCTCTCCCTCTCCAGAAACAGATATTAGTTGTCAGGAAATATTATAATTGTTTGCGTATGTATCTGCGTATCTGCAAATGGCACATGCAAAAATGATTTTGAATATATATATGCCGGCTGTTAATTAACTAGAACTTGATCAGCACAAAACAACAACAGCCTTTGAGTATCAATGCAACCGCAATATTGAACTTTCTCGGAGCCCTCTTTTTTCCGATCGAGTTCCTCCATCACTGCAAACTGCAGTTAGATTCAGACATGATACACTTTTTAGTAATTAGAAGAACTCAAGTACTCTCTTTCGGATTCAGGAGTTTCGTTTTGGTTTCTACAACCTAATGTATGAAATAATAGGACCAATTAATAAATATACACATGTACATTTTTATAATGTTTCGTTTCCATTAAATCATATCAAGTTGGAACAGAAGGTTCTTCCGAAAGTTACCTTTCATAAATAAATAAAATATAGGTTGTGTGTGTAGTTTAGTTGACCATTTAGTATGTTGAAATTTTAATTAAAATAAAGTTTTGAACCAACATATGCATTTGTTGGAATTGTAGATTTCATTTTTTTTTCTGAAAATAAATTAAATTTGAATTTGTTTGTATAAAATGTTAAAAAACTTTACTAATAATGTTTTCATATTTTTATGTTTATGTATTGAGAATAAAATTTCGGTTTAAACAACGTAGACAATGGATTTGAAATAACATATGCATTTCAAAACCTGCCTCATCATGAACTAAGAAGACTTCTGACCATGTTCACATTGATAATTCAAACCCAATTATGTTCTCCTAATTCATTTTTCTATTTGTCAACGTCTCTGTAAAGCGTATTCGGGCGCAGGGTCAAAGGGATTTTTTGCTTATAGAACCAAGTTTCTGACTTATAAAAAACTGTTAGCTGGATAACTAGAAGGTCATTTTCTATGCTAAACTAAAGCGCTGCAATGTCTGCATTTCCAAAGACTTCTAAACCAATGAATTTCTATTAGCTAAGTTGTCACGCAATTGTGGAAATTTTATGACTTAGCCGTTCCCGCTAGCTACCCCCAAAATGTCTATATATACAGCACCATATGTCTCCATTGAGATATTGCAAGAGCAATAGAAAATTATAGTTTCCTTATAGTTTCTCATTTCCTCTTGAGCTCTTGGTATACGTAGCATTTCTTCCCGACATGGCA